AAAGAGGAGGGGGAAAACGAGGGAGAGTGGGAGGAAGGGAGGGGTAGGGACGAAGGAAGAGGGACAACGCCAGGAGAGAAGGAGCGAAGAGGGGGCGGTTGATTAGAGGCAGAGAGAGAGAGAGAAAGACAGATAAGATAAGTAGAGGAAGAGAGAGAGAGAGAGAGAGGGGAGAGAGAGAGAGAGAGAGAAAGAAAGAAAGAAAGAGGGAGGGAGGAGGCATGAGAGGAGAGGGAGAAGGGAGAAAGGAGAGGAGGGAGAGAGGATTGGGCAGAGATGCGTAAGGATGAGGGAAAAGAGGAGGGAGAGAGAAGGGAGGAGAGGAGGGAGGAGGGAGAGGGAGGAGGAGCAAGAAGGTAAGAGCGTGAACGTTCGAGGGAGTCCTAGGCGAAAGCGCCGTTCCTGAAGGAAGTCTCGGGCGGGAGCCCGCGACGGGCGGGCCCTGACGGGCGGGTCGGGCGGGTGGGACATTCAAGCGGGATGCCTGAGTATGGCGAGAGCGCGATTACCAAGTAAATTGTAACGGCGTCCTTGGCGCAGCGTGTTTCCTGAGCGTCGAAAGCGCGACTTCTGAATACATTGCATGGGAGTCACAGGCGAGAGCGCAATTCTTGAATGACATGTGAAGGGTTCTCTGACGGGAGCGGGGGTCTTGATTAAATTGCGAGGAAGTCTTGATTGAATTGCGAGGAAGTCTCAAGCGGGAGCGCCGTTCCTGATTAAATTGTGCGGAAGTCTCAAATGGGAGTGGGGGTCCTGACTAAATTGAAAGGAAGTCACAGGCGGGAGCACCGATCCTGAGTAAATTGTGAGGAAGTCTCAGGAGCGGGGGTCCTGAGTAAACTTGGAGGAAGTCTCAGGCGGGAGCCGTTGTTGTTGTAATCCGGGGGGCCAGGGGGGGCCCAGTTTGAGCTTCAAGATTTTCCCGGATAAAAAATCGGGTGCGAGCGTCGAGGGGCACACTTTGATTGAGAATGCAGTAAGCACCGCTGGGGGGGATCAACAAGAATCTTTTTTCAGAAATGAGAGTTCAACAACAACAACAACCACAACAAGCCCGTTCATCCTGATTTCCCTCATCCGTTCCTCGTCATCCTTCCCGGATTCCTTCTCGCTTCATCATCATCCCCACCCACGTTTTGTACGAATCATGTTCTCACGAGCCATGGTACTGGTAAAGGTGCTAGCAAGATCATACATAATCCTGCTCCCCCGCCTCCACTTCCACTGCGTCGTCGTCCGCCTCTTTCCGTCAATCCCAAATACAATGGTATTCTAATTGTTCGTCCTGCCCACGTCCTTCCTCCCTGCTCCCTCCTTCCTCCCTCCTCCTGCTCCCATTGCAAGCTGCCAGAGACATGTGGGCGCCGCCGACAACCGCCGCCCCCCAAAGACCACCGCACGAGTCCCGAAGACCGTCCCCGTTTCCCAATCCGATTCCTACGGTTCGTTTTCTTCCCCCCCTTGGAACTTCGCAGAACTTTGCAGATTTCGTTGAAGGTTAAAGCCGTTTCGAAGCATCTAAACAGTATGGTTGGTTCATCGGGTATCCCACCCGGCCCATCCAGGAACGGTGTCCAGCCAAGTTACTTCGAGCACGGAAGTGTAGGAGCAAGCAGTGGAACAAAGAGGGCAGACAGCCGTCATACAGAAGATCGGGATCAGCCTGAGCAGGCCCAGAAATTGTCTTGCCGTATGTGCGTTGTAGATGTAAACCCGCACGTCCTATGCATGGGTTGTCACCGACTGCCGTGCGGTGTATTTAGCCACAGAAGGACGGAAGAGGGGAATGGAGGAGAAGGAGGATCACGGGATGAGGGAGGAGGAATCGCGAGGGATATGCCCATCCAGAATAACGATGCCCATGGGGTGGGGAATCGAGAAGAGGAACGTAGAAAAGCACGTAGTGAAGCAAGGTTGCCAACAATGGTGAACGCAGAGACGTTTGGGAGCCGATGGCTCTGGGATCCTTATTGGAACCATCCTGGATCTTTGCTGGACCCTCATGGGGGTCCTCAAGGCACTCCTGGGGCTCTCTGAGGGGGGCGTTGGGGCTCTCTGGGGGATACCTGGAGTGTTCCAAAAAGAGCCTCGCCTTCGAGAATCGAAGAGGTCGCCATCTGTTCCTCGGCGGGATGCGGCGGAAGGGCGGCGGAGGGTGGCGGAAGTGAAAAATGCGCCCCAAAGAGATGACAGCATGTTTGATTTCAGGGTCTTCCGAAATCCGCCACTTGGGAGGTCGTCGCTTCAAGAGGGAGGGTCCTCAACAGCAGTCTCACGTCTTCTGTCGGAGGCGGGAGGCGTCGCACCTGGCCGCCCGCGTGGGCCGCTCGCGGGGCTCTCTTGGGCGCGCGTGGCGACGCCGTGGGCCCTCTTCGGACCCCTTCTTGGGGGCGCTCCCGGGCCATGTCGGGGAGCCATTCCGGGGCCTCCGACGCCCACGGAAGGCGAACGGGCGGCGAGAAGAGGCGAGGCAATGATGCCCCTCCAGGTGTTGGAAGGATGCGTGCCTGTCGGGGGCGTCCCTGGGAGGATCCTTGGCCACTTGGAGCCGTCGTGGGGCCTCTCTGCGGGAAGATGGAAACTACATTGAAACATGTTGGGCGATCATGGCCAGTCTTGGAGGCCATCCTGGGCTACCTGGCGCCCTCCTGGAGCTATCTTGAGCAAGGCTGGGTGCTCCCACGGGTCGTGAACCCCACCAACCCCAGACCGAGGGGGAGGAGTGCCCCTGGTGAGGGCGAGTGAACCCTTCCAGTCGCCGGAAGGGCACAAGACCAGCATGCTCGGGGAATGCCCGGGTTCCAAGACGGTCTCAAGAGGTTTCCGAGAGAGTACAAGAGGCCTCCGAGACGGCTCAAGAACGCTCCGAGACGGCCAAGGTGGCCTCAAGACGGCCCGCGAGGCTCCCAAGACGCCCCAAGAGGCTCCAAGAGGATACCGAGAGAGCCCCCAGATGCAAAAGTCTTCCGGTCCTCTGAGGGAAACGTACTCTGGCAGATTCGCATTATTGTTGATAGCGTCCAGGAGGCCCTCGAGGGGCTCAGGAGGGGCCCCGGAGGAGCCCAAGACGGCCACCGAGGCCCCCAGGACACCCCCAAGACGGGCCCAAGAGGGCCCCAAAGAAGGCCCCAGACCCCTCCAAGTTGCGAAAAGGCCCGCAAAGCCCACCCTGAGGACAACGTCCTTGGTGCTCATTTGGGCCCGCGAGGCCACAAGGGGCCCCCAAGAGGCCCCAATGAGGCCCCCAAGAGGTCTCCGAGAGATCTCCAGGACGAACTTCCCACAGCCTCGCGAAAGTTGCGACAGTTGCGCCACAGGCGGCACCCAGGGAGGCAAGGTCTAGTTCGGATCTTGGGAGGGCCGCACTCCGCTGATCCAAGGAGGCGACATGCAAATCGGATGCGGGATGCTCCGCGCTCTGCTGGACCCCCGTCGGGGTCACGCGAATGGCGACCGCTGAGCAATTGGCAGCGCCCAGGGCGCGCGAGGTATGAGACAGGTTGGCGGGATGAGGAGGAGGAGGAGGAGGAGGAGGAGGAGGAGGAGGAGAAGAGGAGGACGAGGAGGGGTAATAGTAGATTAACAGCGAGAAGGAGGCGAGGAGGAGGGAGCGGGAGAGGGTAGGAGAGACAACGAAAAGGAGAGGAGGAGGAGGAGGCGGAGGAGGGGAAGGAGTTTGGAATCGAACAGAAAGCGAGGGGGCAGCGAGAAGGAGAGGAGCAGTAGGCGCGAGGAGGAGGGAAAGAGCTGCGAAAGATGATGGGAGCACCGGTGCTCTAAGCATGAGGGCTGAGGGGGAGGGGAGGCTCTGAATTTATCACGGCGGGGTCTGGGTTTCTCTTGTCATGGATGATTAGAAATGCTTGAGGGCGTTGTTTCTCTTGACGCAGGCAAACTTACTTGTAGGCCAGTTGGTTGCCACCTCCGCCTGGCCCTCCGCCGCCATCTCAAACAGCAGTTTTGGGCCGAACAGGCGTGCAAGCGAGTCCTGACTTTCTCGTGAAGTTCAGATTTCCCTTCGGGTCTCGCCACGACCCCCCCCCCCTCCCCCTTCCATGCGGGAGAACTTACGGCAGTCAGCGGCCCCCTTGCTGCAGCACCGAATCGTGCACCCGGATGTCCCAGGAGGCCTCCGGACAGGGTCCCAGGAGCCTTCAGAGCGCCCGAAAGCCGCCCGAATCCGCCCAAACACCATTCATTCCCTGATCCGCGATGGCTGGAGGGGGCAAAACTCAGCTCTCTCGCCACCGCTGCCGCTTTCCACCCCCGCGATGGGGCGACCCCGAAGAGTCGGCCGCCGGACCTCTCTTGGAGCGTTTCCTAGCTCGATTCTTCGAGGCGGATCCAGCCGCGGCGATCATGAGCTGACAGAGCACCAGAGAGAAGCATCGTGGCTTCTACGTCAGCAACAGGCACCGCAGCTTCTGCGTCGCTGGCCGAGGCTGATCCACGGACGGATCCAGCACGTCCCCCTCTGATAGGCTCCGCTGGCACCATACTTGCACGCAGCTTGGCAGCATGCTCCACCCCCTGAGGACCAATGCCGACGTGGAATCGTTCCTGGAGGGCTGCAGAGTGGCCCCCGGTGGTCTCCGAACGACCCCCCCCCCCAAGAGGCCCCAGGAGCGCCCTGGCTGCTCCCTGGCCAGCCGCTCTGGCTCCATTGCCTCCTGGGCCGAGGCACTGCGGCGAGCACCTGGCGTACCAGACCCCCGACGTCATGATTTTTTGCATGACGCGACCCCCAGAGGTCCAGACCCACTCCCCAGGACCAGTTTCTCATCCCGAGCCGTTTGTTGACGGTCCCGAGGCCCGGTACGGGCCCCCAGAGGCCGGAAACAGCAAGAATTGTCCCGTCGCGATCTTTTCATGACTCGAGCGGGTTTGGGGGACGGCGAGTCGCCGTGCGATCCACCATGGCGCCACCGGTGGCTCGACCGCGGCGGCTGCTCGCGGCGCTGGCGCTGGCGCTGCCGCTCCTGGCGCTGGCGTCCGAGGGGTGCGGCGGCGGAGCGGCGGCCTGCGGCGCTGACCCGGAGGAGGAGGCGGCGCTGCTGCAGGCGCGCGGCTGGCGGCGGGCCCGCCGCGGCGCGGAGGGCCCGTGCACCGACGACAGCTCCTGCGCCGAGGGCCTCGTCTGCGTCTCCAAGGCTCGATGAGAGCGAGAGCAGAGATCGAAGAAGAAGAAGAAAAAGTAGAATCGCCACAGAAATGAACGTTTGGCGCTCCGCGCGGATTTCTTGGCTCTGCGCTGGGCCCCCCCCGGCGGCGCCTCTGGCGCCGCCCTTGCGGGGCTCCGCGCGCCAGGAAGGGGGCTCCAGCGCCGTTCCAAGAAATTCGCGCGGAGCGCCCAAAGTCTAGGTTCATGCCGCTTGTGATTTGCATGATTATTCTTCTTCTCATTATCATCATTATACCTATACGACCACCCTTCGGGTGATAAGGAGGTTCGGGGGGGAGGAACCAACGTTTCACTCGATCGGTCCCACTATCGATCTCACTATCCTCATCATCATCATCATCATCATCATCATCATCATCATCATCATCAGCATCAGCATCAGCATCAGCATCATCATTATCATCATCGTCGTCATCATCATCATCATCACCCTCATCATCGTCATCATCGGGACACCATCATCGTCACCATCATCATCATCATCATCAACATCAACATCAACATCAACATCATCACCATCGGGACACCATGGTCATCATCATCATCGGAAAACAACCATCATTAGCATCTCATCATCATCATGAACAACATCCTCAACATCATCATCATCATCATCATCGGGACACCATCATCATCAGCAACATCATCATCATCGGGGCACCATCATCATCATCATCATCATCGTCACCATCATCATCATAATCGGGGCACCATCATCATCAACATCAGCATCATCACCATCATCGGACCACCATCATCAAACTCATCATCATCACATCATCATCCTCATCATCAACATCATCATCCCTGGGACACCATCATCGCCATCAACAACATCATCATCGGGACACCATCATCATCATCATCACCATCATCATCATCATCAACAGCATCATCAACCTCATCACCACCATTGGGACACCATCATCATCATCATCGTCACCATCATCATCATCTCATCATCATCTCATCCTCATCAACATCATCATCGGGATCATCATCAGCAAGGTCATCATCATCAACATCATCGGGACACCATCATCATCACAACCATCACCATCATCATCAACATCGTCAACATAATCATTACCATCGGGACACCATGGTCACCATCACCACCACCACTATCATCATCATCATCATCATCATCATCATCATCATGATCATCAACATCATCGACATCATCATCAGCATCATCATCATCATCATCATCATAATCGGGACACCGACGGGACACCGGCGGACATCGGCGGGACACCGTGCGGCACCGGCCCCCGGAAAGGAAACATTTGGTCCGGCCGCGCCTCAGCCGGAGGCGGGACACCGGCGGGACACCGCGCGGCACCGGCCCCCGGAGAGGAATCATTTGGTCCGGCCGCGCCTCAGCTGGAGAAGACTTTCTTCTCGCCCGCCCACGCAGTTTCGCCTCGCCCGCACGCACGGCACGCACGAACACGAAACCGAAACAGATTTCCTGGTAGGGGGGCTCTCCGTTCCACTTCGATCTCACCCCCTCACCTCCGACTTAGTAGACGTATTCGTCTTCCTCTTCCTCTAAAGACAGCGGCCTAGACATCCAGTCAAGGCACTGGGATGAGGGCGCTTTTGGGTTCGGCAGGGGGCTCGCTGTTCTCTCCATCGGTCCTTCCGTGGTGGTTCCGCTGTAGCCCTCCTCGTGCACCCTGGCTCTCCCTAGGTGCCAAAAGGGGCTCTTGCACCGAGGGCCTCGTCTGCGTCTCCGAGGATCGATGAGAACAGGACACGGCAGACCACCACCAGGGCAAAAGGATTGCCACAGGGAATCTCTATGCTTCTCTGCGCTCCCGGCAACGTACCGACATACATCCCCATCGCCGACCTGAAGGTACCGCGTTCCCAGGGATGCCATTTGAGCATCGAGACTCCTTTTGGCAATTCTTTCGCCCTTGTGGTAGACACAATTGTCCGGAGATCCGCGCGGATTTCTCGGATCGGTGTTGGGCCCCCCCTGGCGGCGCCTCTGGCACCGCCCTTGGCGCGCTCCGCGCGCCAGGGACGGGGGTCAGCGCCGATCCAAGCAGGCCGCACGGACCTCCGAGAGATTCTGTGTATGCCGTTGCTTGGCCCTCTGCAGTCGGACAACACGTGGGCTCAGTGCATCGACTGCGGGGCCGTGAACTTCCAGGAGGCCTGCGTCAACTGGGAGCAGACGCTCCTCTGGCCAGCGGAGACGGCCTGCGGCCTCGCCTGCGAGGGGTACCAGCTCTCCTACCCGAGGGAGTGCGTCACCAAGGATCGGCGGCGAGCAAGGGGGGGAAGGCGAGAAGGAGAAGGCCTTCTCAGAAGGCGTCGGGGCTCATGCGAAGACCTCACGCCTTCTGAGATGGTTTCTGCGTCTTCGTGGAAGGCTTGGGAACCTTCTCAGAAGGCTGGGGGACTTCCGAGCCGTCTGAGAAGGCTCGCCCCTTCTCACCTTCCCCCCCTCGCTCGCCGCCGACAAGGAGCTCGCCACCGACTGGCCAACTGACCAGTGCCAGCAGGTTGCCGATGGCGTATTCAACTTCACTTGCCTTACTGGTGGGGATGCCAGCACGCAGGACTGCGGCGCCAGGATGTCGAGCCGCCCGGGTTATGGCCCAGGAGAGTTCTCGGCCAGCATCCAGGCAGCGCCAGGAGAGGGCGTGGCCACAACGTTCTACCTCATCACCAAGGGCCTTGGGAAAGATTTCGCTCGGAACGTGTCTTGGACGGAGGTGGACTTCGAAATTCTGGGGAAGCAGGATAATGATGGCTCGACCAGGGTGTGGTCGAACCTGTTCGTGGGCATTGGCATCAACGCCCCAGAGTGGATCACGCTCCCTTTCTCTACCAGCGAGGGCTACCACGAGTATGTTATCGATATTGACTGCTGCTCCATGGCACTGGTTGTGGACGGCCACACATACCGTACTGAGGACATCAGTTATTTCCCAGACATGCGCAGGGACTTGAACCAGTCAATGCTGGAGGAGCACTTGTCCGTGTGGGGTCAGAACGGCAGCGATGGGGGTTGGGCGGAAATGGGCATCCTGGAAAACAACCCGCACCAGGACGTCGTGTCATCATACAGAGACTTGAGCAAGGGATATTCTGCAACTGCATCCTGCCCCGCGCGCGACGTGGGGCCCCTGGCGGCAACTAAAAAGACATTCGACGGTTGGGAGGTGTTCTTCACCAACGCGTCGCAGGCCGCCTGTGAGCAAAGCAGGTCCTCTCCAGGCCCACCCAACACCACGCTGGCTGGCTTCAGGCTTGTTGGGAACGGGGGCTGCCGCACCGCGGACGGCGGGGCAGGCGACTTCGAGGTGGCCATTATCGAGCACTCCGAGCAGTGCCACAACATGTGCCTGGCGAACTCGTGGTGCGTGGGCTACGAGATCAGCAACACGGACTGCCAGCGCTGCGAGCTGCACCGGGAGCCCATCGCGGAGGAGCACAAAGCGGCGAGAGAACAGACGGTCGGAGGAGGAGGAGGAGGAGGAGGGAGGAGGAGGAGGAGGAGGAGGAGGAGGAGGGAGGGAGGAGGAGGAGGAGGGAGGAGGAGAAGGAGGAGGAGGGAGGGGAGGGAGGGAGGGAGGAGGAGGAGGAGAGGAGGAGGAGGAGGAGGCGGGAGGAGGAGGAGGAGGAGGAGGAGTGGAGGAGCGAGCGAGCGAGCGAGGAGGAGGAGGAGGGAGGGAAGGAGGGAGAGAGGGAGGGAGGAAGGAGGAAGAGGAGGAGGAGGAGGAGGAGGAGGAGGAGGAGGAGGAGGAGGAGCCCTGCGCGGACTTCTCGGATCGGCGCTGCACGCCCCCTCTCTGGCGCGCGCGGAGCGCGCCCTGGGGCGGCGCCGGAGCAGCCGCCATGGGGGGCCCAGCGCCGACCCGAGGAGTCCGTGCGGAGCCCCGACGGCCTGTCTCCGTGCCGCTGCGCCCTCCGCGGCCCCGTCGCGCGGACGGTGGGCAGCTGCTGCCGGTGCTGGGCGCGCGACGCGAGCTCGCCGGCGCAGCCGCTGCCCATGCCGCCCCCCGCGCCCGCGTGGGGCCCCGACGGCGCGCCCGTGTCGCTGACGACGGCCTTCCACCGGCAGGTGCGGGCGGACGCCGCCGGCGGGGTCTCCGCGGGCGGCGGCGGCGCCCAGGCCGGCGGCGCCTCGGGCGGCTGCTGGGGCACCTTCAGGCTCTCGCCGGGAAGGGCGGGGGGGCAGCGATCCCAGGCCCCCTCGAGCCCTGAGAAAATCACGACGGGAGATTGTCCGCCCTGTTCGGCCTCTGGGGGCCCTCACCGGGCCTCGGGACCGTCAAAAAACACTTCAGGACGAAAAGTTGGTCCCCGTGAAGAGGTCACGTCATGACAAAATCACGGCGTCGGGGGTCTGGGATGGGGGGTGGCACAGGCTCCTCAGGCGGGGACGCGTCGGCCCCCGATCGCCCACCCATCGCCGACAGGGGCCCGATGGCCCCAGCCCGCCCAGGAACCCGCGTCGTTCGCCATCGGGGGGGGGGCCCATCGCCGATCTATCGGCAGCGTATCGCCGATTCCGGCTCGAAGTTTGTGTCCCCCCCTGAGTTGGTTCCCCCCGATCGTGGCTCCTCGGAAGGAGCACGGGCCCGAAGGTTTTCTCCGTTTTTAGGCTCATGGGGGCCCTCCACCGGCCCTGGGACCATCAAGAAACGACTCAGGACCCAGAGCTTCTAGATTCAGTTGGATGCAGCCTCTGGGGGGGTCCACTCCAGCATCGGCGCTGGTATATCCGCGGTAGAAAACGATCCCGATCTGGCATGATTGCGGCGAATCTGTCCCAGTCTGGCTCAATCCCGCCTAATACGGTTGTAGTTCTAGGTTGAATCTGGGCTAATCTTGCTCGGTGGCCCCTTAACGGCGATGTTGATAACGGCGATGTTGATAACGGGGATGCAAGTTTGGGTGATGTACGTGGGGGGGGGTCGTGGCTAGCCCAATTTTAGGAAAGGCTTGTTCGCATGTTCTTATCTTTTGGTCTGCGCGAGCTCGGCGTCGCAAAAACCAGATTCCCAGCATCGCCGCTAGTCAACATCGCCGTCAGCGCGGCCTTGGCGTGAATCGGGCTCAGTCGCCCTTGATCGCTCCCACGCGCTCCCATGGAATTTGCTTCCTCCCCAAGGTTCACCCAGGTCGGGGGCGGGCTCGCCACAGTGCAGACCTGCGACGGCTCCTACCTGACCGTGAGGCCCGATGGGAGCGTGGTTGCGGAGGCCGCCGGCGGACCCGATGGCGAGACCGACGCCTGCCAGCAGTTCGAGGTCGGCATGCCGACGGACGCCCCGCGCTACGTGAAGACGCCCGGGGGCTCCTTCGTCATCAAGTCCTGCCTGGGCACCTACGTGACTGAGGCGCAGCAGGACGCATGCTAGCCGCCGTCCAGGTCTGTGCTTCGCCGCCGCCATCCCCCGCGTGCCATGTCCGCAGCACCTCTCCCGTTGCCATCTGCTCTGCCTCCGCGTTGCTTGTGGCGCTGTGATGTGCTGTTTCGTCCAAGTATATAGTTATGTCTGCACTGCAACCGCCGGACGCCATGTGTAACTTGTTTGGACGTCATTCTTCACAGTGTTCGTGCATGCGCATGCGCGTTCCCTCTTAGATCAAGATCGCTGCGCCAAGGAACTTAGGGCAGCCCAGCGTGATGACGCTTGCCTCATGACACTGCGACGATGACCGCTGGAGATCCTGGCGGCATTTGGCGCGCCTCTGTCCACGCACAGATGAGCTTGGCGGAAAGACAGATGCTGGCGTCAGCTTGTGTGCTGTGGATCGCCGTGCGGACCGTTGCGTTTTGATCGTTGTGCAACAGGGCCCGTTTGTTCTAGGTTGTAAGCTTCGGAGCCACTAGGCGGCCTCTGCGGTGGCAGAGTGGCTGCGCTGCTGTTCGCCACTGCGCACGCTCCTCTGCTGGGTAGCCACCGCACGGACAAACCATTCCCCAGGCAGTGCTTGCACTGAAGGGGCCCTCGCGGAGACGGAAGGATGTGGCGATGAAAGCCCCAGGCCGCTTTCGGTGTCGGTGGTTGGGTTCGCGGGGTGCCCCTGGCTCCCGAGTTCCATTGTCGCCTGGGTTCCCGGGTTCCCGGTTTCCGGGGCTCCTGGCAGTTTTGGGCTGGCTGGGTTCCCGGGTTCCCAGAGGCTGGGATCCTTGGCTCCTGGCTCCCGATTCTGGGGTCCCCGGCACTATAGTGTCAGGTTCTGGCGTTCTGGATGTGCTGGGTGTGGCCAAGCGCCAGAGTCTTGGATCGCAAGCAGCGCAGGGGTCAGAGAGTTGCGAGCAGAGCTGACTAGCGGGACCAGAGAGACAGAGAGAGAGAGAAATAGAGAGACAATATTTGTGACCACTCTTAGATACGGTATTGAAAGATGGAAGGGGGAGGTCAGAGTGATAGGGCGAAATTGGGCATATATAGAGAAAGATGGGACGAGAGAAAAACAGTGATATAAACACAGAGAGAGAGATAGAGAGAGAAAAACAAAACAAAACATAACAAAAAAACGAGCACTGCCTATATACGTATATCTAATTGGGAGTAGGTCTGGGACATCAGAGTGCAAAGCGAGGTGTGAGGGCAGATCAAGCAAGCAGAAACTACCTGCATACAAAAAAGATGTGCGCAACAGAGAGAGAGAGAGAGCGCGGGATAGAGGGCAGGGGAGGAGCGCATGCGAACCAATTCCAGGAAACCCACTCAGTGGTGTTTCTCTCCGGCGTCACCAACATACATTTCGGGGGCGGCAAAGAGGTGTGTGATGACTAGGGGGGGGGGGATATCGTGGCGTGGGCCGTGATAGTTCCTCGGACTTCATGGCGCCTCTTCTTATTCCATCACGTTCCTGGCCCCCCCCCCCTGGGCCGCGCACATGCCGCCGGCCATGATTTGCGCCCCCCCCCTCTTGGGCGCCCCCCTCGCGGCCGCCCCCAGATACATCATACCCACAAGGTTGTGAAGGCTCGTTCCGCCTCGACTTACAGACTCGCCCGTGCATCGCCCGTGGTGGGTGAGAGGCCCAAGGGGACTCGGGGGCAGAAAGGTCGGAGGAGCCGGGCGCGGGGCGGGACGGTGAAGCGGAGGAGAGAACGAGCCCTGTTCACAACACTTGGTCTTGCTACCCCTCGGGGGGCCGTTTCGAAAGAATGCGCAGGAAGCGCCGCTGCGAGACAGAATCCCAACAGGAGCGGCTTTCGGTACATCTGCCAACGGCAGCTTTGAGCTTGTATGGTGAGACGGATAAGGAAGGGGGGCGGGAGAGCAAGAATAAGGAGACGAGGGTTCCTCCCCTCGGACAGGTATAGAAGTACGTTCTGTGCAGGTGGGTGAGCTTTCTGCGCGGATCCCCAAAAAGTGAAAATTAATTTTGGGCTGTCGTTTAATGTTTTCTTTCACGCGCCATTCGAGGCGGGCGATCGCGCTTGTCGGGTTTGCTAGGGCCTCGATGCCGCTAACCAAAGTAGGTCTGCAATCAAGGCCGCTGCCTCGCGAATGGAAGAGAGGAGGAGCGCGGGGCGAGCCTTGCGGGTGCGGGGGAGGGGGGCGGTCGCCGCCGCGCAGCGCGCGAGGGGCAATGGGGAGGCGCACGGGGAGTTAGGGGGTGGACAGTGGAGGGGCGAAGGGGAAGGGGCAGGGCCGAGCAGCGGACGGGGATAGCGAACGTCATGGAGGGGAGCAGGAATACGCGAAGGGCACAGAGGGGCTTCGGGGGAGCAGTAATAGAAGACGGAGGCGATGATTACAATTGAAATAAGGCGCGCCACCAACATTACACAGCGGTGTGCAAGCAAATGCTGTTGCAGCCAAGCTGTACCCGCAATGCAAACCATGTCCGCAATAGGCAGGCTGACGCGACAATGTCCCACATGCGCAGGCGACACTGTTCTCAACTACATTCATGAGTTCCGTTGCCATTTCCAATCGGACCCCCCACGTCGTCATCGTTGCGGTTATCGTCGCAATCATCGTCGTCGTCGTCGTCGGTTCCATTGTATCCAATGCGAACCAAACATTTGCCCGCCATGGATTTTGGTTCGAATTGGACACCCCCGCGTTGTTGCGATGTCTTGACACTCTTCGCTCGAACAACTGGTGTGGGTCTTCTCCGGTATATCTTTTCTTCGGTGCCCGAGGGGCGACCGAGGGGCGCATCGTGGGATGTAGTGGGGCGCCCTGGGCCTAGTGGAGCTCACGTCGATTACGGGGCGAATTCTACGTCTTTCGTCTTGTACGGAGTTTACTGGTACCCCTGGCGCTGTCAGTGAGAAATTGCAGCGGTTCCCGCCCCCCTGACTCAGCCGAGGGGCGCGGTGACGCACCCGACTTGTACCCCGCCCCTGTCGCGAAGTGCCCGTCTGTACGTGCTTGCCCCGTCCGAAACATCCACCGCGTACACATGTACATTTAGCCGGCCGTTCAGTGTACATCTGTACGTGCTGGTTTCGCCTGTGACATCCGCGCAAAACGGAGCACATACAGATGTGCACCGAGCCAGCGGGGCGGGGTGCACAGAGAAAGCGGCGACGCCCGCACCCGACGTGCACCGCGCCCCCGCCGCTAAGTGCCAGGCTGTACGCGGCCCGTTTTCGCGAGACATCGGCTGCCCGCCCTTCCCGCCGCCGAGGCCCAGTCCATGGGCCGCTTCCCGTCGATTTTCCATCCCGAGCTATGCTACAACAGAGAGGGTCCGTAGTAGCATCCGTGGAGGGGCTTTTAAGGGGCCCTCCAAGACGGCGTGGGAGGGCCCCAAGCAGGCCCAAGAGGGCCACAAGATGGCAAAGGGTCCCCGGAGGGCCACAAAAGGGTCCCGGAAGGATGCTACAACAGGGGGGTCCGCTGTGGAATCCGTCAAGGGCCTTCCTGGTACTTTCCAAAACAGCCTGGGAGGGTCCCAAGAAGGGTGGAGGTTTGTTTCATCCGCTTTCGTTTCGTCCGCTTTTGTTTCGTCCGCTTTTGTTTCATCCGTTGTTGTTTCGTCCGCTTTTGTTTCATCCGCCTTTGTTTCTTCCGCTTTTGTTTCCTCCGCTTTTGTTTCATCCGCTTTTGTTTCGTCCGCTTTTGTTTCGTCCGCTCTGTATTGCGTGATTCGTGTGGAAGCTGGGAGGATGAAAACCGGATGAAT